TTTGCATGCAAAATTCGAGAAGTCATTGTTTTTTACCGCTGAGTAGTATTCTAATGTGTATATATTCCACACTTTCTTCATCCATTCTTCCATTAAAGGGCATCTAGGTTGTTTCCAGGTTCTGGCTATTACAAATAATGCTGCTATGAACATAGTTGAACAAATGCCCCTGTCATATGATAGGGCATCTCTTGGGTATATTCCCGAGTGGTATTACTAGATCTTGGGGTAGGTTGATCCCGAATTTCCTGAGAAATCGCCACACTGATTTCAAAGTGGTAAGTGATGTTTATATCCGAAGTTCTTAGTTCTGCTGTGTACTGTATGAATGAGCTTACATGTTAGTGCATGTGTCTATTGTGGGGACAGTCAGCCCTGATTACCTTCCTCAGTTTTTCTCCATTTTATTATAAACAGAATCTGTAACTGAACTCCCTGATTTCTGACTTAACTGTACTCTGGAGAAGTGTGCCCCGTGCTTTCTCCCTGTGTTTATGACCACCATATTGAGATTATAGCCATAAAGTTCTGTGCCTAAATTTTCTATACTACCCTTCTATATGGTCAAATTCAGGACTCATCCTTATGTGGCAAGCATATTAAATACTGACCCAACTCTTTAGATCTGTTTCATGTCAGTCTTTTGAGTTTGACCTTGGTATTTATGCATATACTTGTATATGTACCTCTACATAGACACACAAGCACTCACATATTTTTAACTAATTCCTGGTGCTAGAATTACTTTGAATTGAATTTGAATTTGTGTGTGTTCATTCATGTTGCAATAAATGAATAAGTCACTATTTGTGACTTGCCATTGCCCATGCCAGAGGAGCAGAGAGTTTCAGTTGAAGTTCCAGGTGTCAGTTCACCAGAAGTGAATCCTCTGATGGGCCAATCTCATTTAGGCAAGGCCATGGGATTACAGACACTTGAATGACTTTTACTTCTGCTATGCATATATATGTTTGCTGCTACTTTCTTTCTCTGGTATCTAGCATGATGTGAGCAGATGTAAGAAATCCCCACTGTCTGTAATATACTGTGTTTATTTCTAGGAAACCACCTGTTCTAGTGGGCACTTTTACCTGTGGTCTGTCAAGAAGATTACCCCTCCCTAAGCTTTACTGCCTAATATGATAATAATAATAATAATAATAATAATAATAATAATAATAATAATAACTTATACAGAGTTTTGATGAATGAAAATAAATACAAGGATACGTTTCACAGCCAGGGTCTGTAAGTCTCACCTAAGGAGATGCAGTTCATGTTAATGACTAGCAATTGAGTCCCAATAGCCCAGGTAGTTTAAATAATTTTAACCTTAATATTGGGAGATGTTCATAGGTCTTGAAGTACATCACAGCTGAAACAAAGCTTTAAAAATAACAAAGTTAGATTTTTCTCTCCCCATCTCCCCTTACCTCCCTCCCACCCCACCCCCAAGATCCCATTTTTTGCCCGGCAATCTTGTCTACTTCCCATAATCAGGAGGATAGCTATATGTTTTTCTTTGGGATCACCTTCTTATTTAGCTTCTTTAGGAGATCAAATTATAGACTCACTGACCTTTATTTATCTCTAGAAACCAATTATGAGTGAGTACATCCCAAGTTCATCTTTTTGGGTCTGGGTTACCTCACTCAGGATAGTGTGTTCTATTTCCATCCATTTGCATGCAAAATTCGAGAAGTCATTGTTTTTTACCGCTGAGTAGTATTCTAATGTGTATATATTCCACACTTTCTTCATCCATTCTTCCATGGAAGGACATCTAGGTTGTTTCCAGGTTCTGGCTATTACAAATAATGCTGCTATGAACATAGTTGAACAAATGCCCCTGTCATATGATCGGGCCTCTCTTGGGTATATTCCCAAGAGTGGCATTGCTGGGTCCAGGGGTAGGTTGATCCCGAATTTCCTGAGAAACCGCCACACTGCTTTCCAAAGTGGTTGCACAAGTTTGCATTCCCACCAGCAATGGATGAGGGTACCCCTTTCTCCACAACCTCTCCAGCAAAGGATATCATTGGTGTATTTGATTTTAGCCATTCTGACAGGTGTAAGATGATATCTCAAAGTTGTTTTGATTTGCATTTCCCTGATCGCTAAGGAGGTTGAGCATAAGTGAGAAGGGGAGGTTGGGGGGAACTTGGGAAACGGGATGTTTGGGATAAAGGAAGGTCGGATAGGGGAGCAGGGAAGCACACATCTTAATTAAGGGAGCCATCTTAGGGTTGGCAAGAGATTTGGTGCTCCCAGGTGCCCAGGGCGATGTCCCCAGTTAGTTCCTGGGGCAGCTGAGGACAGAGAACCTGAAATGACCCTATCCTATAGCCATACTGATGAATATCTTGCATATCACCTTAGAACCTCCATCTGGCGATGGATCGAGATAGAGACAGAGACCCAAATTGGAGCACCAGACTGAGCTCTTAAGATCCAAATGAGAAAATATGAGCAAAGAAGTCAGGACCACGAGGGGTGCACCCACCCACGGAGACAGTGGGGCTGATCTATTGTGAGCTCACCAAGGCCAGCTGGACTACGACTGAAAAACCATGGGATAAAACCGGACTCTCTGAATATGGCGGACAATGAGGGCTGCTGAGAAGCCAAGGACAATGCCACTGGGTTTTTTTGATCCTACTTCATGTTCTGGCTTTGTGGGAGCCTAGCCAGTTTGGATGTCCACCTTCCTAGACCAAGATGGAGCGGGGAGGACTTTGGACTTTCCACAGGGCAGGGAACCCTGACTGCCCTTCAGACTGGAGAGGGAGGGGGAGAGGAGTGGGGGGGAGGGGGAGAGGAGAGGGAGGAGGGGGGAAAAGGGAGACGGGGAGGGAAATGGGAGGCGGGGAGGAGGCGGAAATCTTTTTTTTTCAATAAAAAAATTATATTTAAAAAAAATAACAAAGTTAGACTAAGATTTTTTTGTTAAAGAACTTTGAGGTAAAAACCCCAAGATGACAATTTAAAGTTTTTGAAAGGCACATACTGGAATGGTTGAATGTGGAACTCTTTAATGTCAGGGAGCAAGAATAAGCAACCGAATTATTACTGGCTGACATACTCTACTTTTTAGGTTTGGTTGATGACCAAAGGTAATGGTTATGAATTACTTATACACATTTCTGTCCTCAATGTACTGATGTAAAAAATTATTCCTACATCTTTATATATCCTAAAGAGTTTAGGTAGAGCTGACTGATTCTTTTTTCTATCTATAAGTTTTCATTTCTAATTTCTTTAAGATTTCTTATCAAATTATCTTTCAAGATAAGTAATAAAGTAATTGGCCCTCTATTTGTAACTACAAAATACAGCATGATAGTAAAAGAGCTGGCTAAAACACTTTGGTTTCTGCGTGCTTCATCTGTAACAAGTTGCTTGAGTACGAATGTATGTGGGTTCTTGGGATGATTTGATTTTTCTCTGTAATACATAAAATGTTCAATCATGTGAGGGAGATGAAAAGTATGTTTTACTTATAACCATTCACCTAAAAAGTGGAATGTAACTATTTTGATTCTTGCACTGCCTGGAAGATTCTGTTGGGATATAAGTTCTGTAAAACAACATGAGATAGGAGAGAGAAAATTAAGAGAAACAATAAAGAAGAGAAGGAATAAAGAAGAAAAACATCAAGAGAGCTTGTAAGTGCCTTTTTCTCTAACCCCTCTCAGATAGAAAAGGTTAACATCACTGACTCCATGGATTCCTTCAAAGACGTGTGCTTCTTGAAGCTGGTCTCCTAGACAGCAGTAATTGCTATATATAGAAGTATGTGTCTGGGTGTTTCTGTGTGAAGTCACACACATGGGCACACAATCATACTCATACGCATTTTTATATATGCATAATGATGCTCAATACAGCCTTCTTTTGCTGTTTTTGTTTTCAAAACAGGGTTTCTCTGCAGCTTTGGAGCCAGTTTTGGAACTAGCTCTCGTAGAACAGGCTGATCTGAAACTCACAGAGATCCACCTGCCTCTGTCGCATAAGTGCTGAGATTAAAGACATGTGCCATCACCACCCCATTAAATCCCTCCTTTTAAGATAACATGTCCATAGTTTTCATAAAGAAGAAATTATGGATTTTTTTACAAATCATCTTCATAAGTGATTTTTATGAGCTACCTAATTTGTGCACTGGGAGCTGAACTCAGGTTTCTCTGTGGACCATATATAAATTCATAATTGCTGAGCCAAATCTCTAGCCCCACATACCTATATATTTATGAGACAGAAACTGTGTCTAAATCATGGCAAGAAGCATGTCTAAGGAAAGAATAGAAACATATGCTTGAATATACAAAAATTAAAAATATTCATAAACTAAAATTGTGATAGAAGTATAGTGGTTAGTATGATTAATGTGGTTAAGTAGGGCAATTGAAGAAAATGCTAAGCAATATTATCACTAACATTTCAAAGAAAAGAACATGGCATTATTCTGAGCATTAGGAGTCAAGGGTGAAAGTCACAGTAATGGATAGTATTTCAGTGTCTATAGAAAATCAATATGTGATGGAGCCAGCAGAAGCTGTGACTAGTCATCCATGGCCAAACCCTCTTTCATGGGAAATGTGAATCAGAGTGAATGGTTGTGACCACAAGCTAGGGAAGCAAAAGATAGAAACAGAAGAATTGAGGAAGAGAAGCAGCAGAGCAGATGATTGGAGCAGCTTTTGTTCCTCCCCAAACTAGACTTTTAGTTCATATGTACACTAGCCAGTGGTTGTGGACAACCATTTACCTGGTGTAAAGAACTTAATTTCAGTATAAACTGGCCCTGGGCAGCATTGCTCGTGTTGACCCTGAGCTGTAGCTGCTGTAATTGTGAATATTAACTGATGTAGTGAAACATGGTGTCCAGTTTTCTGTTGTATTTTTTTTCAAGTGGAAAAGTTAACTAAATGGTTGACACACAAATTGGTGGAGAAATTGTGCATATGCCAATTCTTTTGTGTAAAACCTTTTATTTTGAACTATACTGCTTTTGTGATCTCTCTCAGAAGAACGGCACGAACAGTCTTCAGCCACAGTTGTGATGTTTGTGAATGTTCACAATTGTGTGTTCCCTGGGGTCTGCAACTTGTTAACTTAAAACATTCTTTAAAAGGCTGGCTTCTTCTTTGCAAGCCAGCTGATATGGTAGCAACCAAAGATTCCAGTGTTTGAGCATTTGAAAGACTCTGCCTGCTTACCTGTGCTAGAAATAAAAGCATCTAAAGTGAAGACTTAAGGGGGAAAAAAAAAATAGCGACTACTAGATTATCCTTAGGATTCTGCATTAACTCTATAATGTTCTTGCTATTATAAAAGCATATTTGTCTCAAATTTAGTTACTGTCTTACAACTGAACATGTATGTGTGTTGCTTAAATAAATGTAATCACTGTAAACATCTATATGATCTGGGATTTTGTTTTTATTTTGAAATGGGAGGTTTTTGTTTTCAAGTTCATTAAAAACTAAAAACTGTTTTAAAAAAAGAGTGACCGGGTATCTTTCTGTATCTCTGACAATTCAACTGTTGCATAATTCATACAAAGTAGAAGTTCCAGCTTGCTGTCTCACAGGAGAGGATATATGGATGTTCTACACATTTTAAAAAAGCTAGCATAAGTGAGTCATAGTTTTTCACCTTAAAGAAACTTTGAACATTTACCAATGGGAAGTGTCCTAACTTCAACTCTACACACTATACTCCTATAAGAAAACTACACAGTACCTCATAAATATGTACAACTTTCATAGTATACTTTCAGTTTAAATTATTTAGCTTAGAACATAGCGGACAAGGAGGACCACTGAGAACTCAAGAACAATGGCAATGGGTTTTTGATCCTACTGCACATATTGGCTTTGTGGGAGCCTAGGCAGTTTGGATGCTCACCTTACTAGACCTGGATGGAGGTGGATGGTCCTTGGACTTCCCACAGGGCAGGGAACCCTGATTGCTCTTTGGGCTGATGAGGGAGGGGAACTTGACTGGGGGAGGGGGAAGGATATGGGAGGCGGCGGTGGGGAAGAGACAGAAATCTTTAATAAATAAATATATAAATTAATAAAAAAAATATTTAGCCTAAAAATATTTTAAACCTGTGACTGATTTGCAAATTTATGACCACGTTTTCTGTTTTGCCTTCAGAGTCCTCAATCTGTATGTTCACAGAGCTGTGGTCCAGGTTTCTGGAAAATTCTAGAGGAACAAAGACCGATATGCTGTTTTTCTTGTATGTTTTGTCCAGAAGGGCACATTTCCAACCTAACAGGTAGAAAAATAATCCCTTTCCTCAAACTGCTTAAGTAGAAGAAGAAACCTAATAAGTAACGATGGTGCCATCTTGCAGCTCTGTTCTCCATGTCTCTTTCACTCGTCCACCTGTTCATTAGTAATCACTGCTGATGCACCAATGTGTGAAAATCTGAGTGGCAACCCTCATGTTATTGTGTCCTCTACATCACTACTTCCAAAAACTGTCTCATGTCTGCTACTGGATTTGTATATGTCGTCTGCTCTTGGAAGGAGAAGCCCAGAAAAGAAAAGTTTACTAAAACTATATGTAAGGTGTAAAGAGGATTAACTTTATTCTGGATGTGATTTTCAGGAAATGGTGATATTATGATTCTTTGTGGGTTATTAAACATCCTTATTGATGTTTTAACACCTCATTCTTCTGTATTTGCATCCGTTTCACCCCTGTCCCATGTTTCCTTTCAGGTCACGTATATACTCTCCAGACATCCTTATTGTTGTTTCACTCTCTTACTCACTTCAACTGCATTTATCTCCCTCTTCCCTCTATAATTAGAATCTCCATCTTTTGCCTTTTCCGTTTCATGTTATTTGTTCCCTGCTATCTCATTCTGTTGTTCCTCAAGCTCCTGAAGTTGTCCTGCTCATTTTCCTGTCCTCTGCAGTTTCTCCAGGACATGAACTCACACCTGAATATTTGGAACTAGGAGCCTCAGATAAGAAAGTATACCTGACATTTGTCTTTCTGTGCTGGGCTTTCATGACTCAACTTTTCATGATCTTTTCTGGTTCCACCCACTTACCCATAAAGTTTATTATTTCATTTACAGATAAATGGTATTCAATGGAGTATATGTATCACAATTTTATTACCCTCTTGTTGGAACTAGATCACTTAGGTTTTTTCTATTTCCTAAATACTGTGAACAAAAGCAGCATTGCATATACAAAGCAAATACCTGTGGATTTTGGCATGTCATATGGACATATGCCAAGGAATGGTCATATGACAGAATTAATTTTAGCTTTATAAAATTCCCCATTCTGATTTCCAAGGTGTCTATCTAAACCAGTTACAGTCCCAGCATAAGTTAAATAGTGTTTCCTTTTCCTATGGGTCTGCTCAAACACTTCTTGTTGGCTGTTCTTTGGATCTTTGCTGTTTTGGCTCAGGTATGATGAAATCTGAATGTTGTTTTTATTCATGTTTCTATATTGATAAGATTGGCAACGTATTTTGAAATATTTTTATCCATTTTATTTCAATGAAAATCCACTGTTCAGATCCTAGGATCCTCCCTCCTCTCTCCCTTCTCTCTCTGATGTGTCAAGACAGAGTTACTCTGTAGCTGTAGAGCCTGTCCTGGAACTAGTTCTTGTGAACCATACTGACATCGAACTCACAGAGATGTGCTTGCCTCTGTCCCCACCCCCTGAGGGCTGGGATTAAAGGTGTATGTCACTCCAGAGTAATTTTTCTTATACATTTGACTTTTTAACTCTGTTTTTTTTTTTTTTCAGCTCTCTGTATTTTCGCTGTCAGATATATACCTGGCCAAGAATGTCTCCCATTCTGGGGGTTTCTCTCCACTCAGTTGATTGCTTCTTTGACTGTAACAGAGGCTTTTAGTTTCATAAAGTCCTACTTGTCCGTTGTTAGCCTTAATTCTTGGGCAAATGAAGGCTATTTAATAAAGTTTTTTTTTTTAACTCAAACAAGATCATAGAGGATTTTGCCTGTGTTTTATTCTAAGAGTTTGTTTTAGAGGTTTCAGGCTTAGGTCTTTGATCCTTATGGAGTTAGAATTTATGAAGGTGATAAGTGTAGGTTTAACTTCATTGTTCTACTTGTGGACCTCCAGTTTTTCCAACTAAATGTCTTCATAATGCTTTCCATTCTCAAACTTATGCTTTGGTGTACTTACTGAGTATTAAATGATTGAGCTAACATGTGCTCAAGTTGGGTCTTGGATATGTTTCTACATTGGTCTACAGATTATTTTCTGCCTATGTCGTATAATTTTGTGGTTGTTTATATTGTTGTTATTTAACATTAGCACTGTGATATAACTTTAATTTCAGAATAGTAATCCCTATACCATGGTGCTTTTTCATCTAATATTATTTTGGGTTGCCTTGGTGTGTTGAGTCTTGGTATTTTTCCTGTCTGCATAGAATAATATCAGAATTTTTATTGAGTGTCCATTGAATTTGTAAATAGATTTTTGTACATTATTTTTCATTAAGTTAATTCTATCTACCTGTAATCTTCAAATGGGATATCTTCTTATTTTTTTATGCCTTTTCCAGTTTCTTTGGAGTTTTTATGTTCTCTTGTCAAATTTCTTTGTGACTTTGATTAGATTTATTCGTAAATAATGTACTTTATTTCATAGAATTGTGAATGGTAGTGTCCAGATTCTGCTTTCTAAGTTTGTTCTTTATATATAGAAAGGACATTGATTATGTAGGTTGATTCAATATTCTGCCACATAGTTGCATTTGCTGATCACTTGAAGAATTTTTGTGGTAGACTTTTTTGGATCACTAATGCATAGTATTTATAAACTGCAAATAGAGATAGTTAGAATTCTTTCTCTATTTTTATTCCTTTAATTTACTTGTCTTGACTTATTGCTTCAGCTAAAGTTTTGAGCACAAGAATGAAAAGGAGTGGTAGTGGTAGATTAATTCCTCACTTCAGTGGAATTGATTTAAGTTTTTCTTTCTTGAGAATGGCGTTGGCTTGAGTTTCTTATATATAGCGTTTATTGTGCTGGTGTATGTTCCATCTTTCTGTATGTTGTATAGAACATTAAGATAAAGGCAGTTTTATTTTGTCATGCTTTTGTCACATGAACATCTAATGTTTTATACATCCATTTTTGTAGGTTTTACATTTATTGAATTAACTATGTTGAACCACTGCTCTATGTCAAAGAAAAAGCCACTTTAGTTGTATTATTCAATAGTTCTGTTGTAAATCTGTATTCTATTTGCAAGAATTTTATTGAGTTTTATGAGCCTACATTTATAAGAAATAATGGTGCATGGTTTTCTTTTTTGTTGTGTCAGTACCTGGTTTTGATATTAGGATGAAATGGCTTTCTAATGGAACTTGTAAATTAATCTTCTCTTTCTATTATTTTAATATTTTAAGTAGGATTGACTGCATCTCTTATTTGAATCTCTGGTGAAATTCTGCTCTGAGGCCCTAATATTTATATAGCTGGAAGACTTTTGTTACTATTTCAATCTCCTGTGTGTTATGGGTTTGTTTAGATTCTTGACTTAGTGTTTTAATTTTTATGGCATGGCCAAAGGTAAAAATGTATCCATTTCATGAAGGTTTACACACTTACTGAAATACACATTTTCTTTTCTTTTTAAAAATATTCTCTTACCAAGATCTCCTGGAAAAAAAAAATGGAAGCATGGGGATGGGGAAAGAAGGGAAAGCAGAAGGGGAGGAGAAGAGGAGAAGGGGAAAAGAGAGAATAATTTGAGGTAATAGAATAGTCAGGATGGGGGAAGGACAGAGACAGAAAGCAAGGAAAGAGCTATTTTTACTGAGGGACTGTTTATGTGGACAGCAAAAGATCTGGCACTAGAGAAATTCCCAGGAATCTACAAGGATGACCCCAGTTAAGACCCTAAGCAATAGTGGAGAGGTCAAGACCATGATGGGGATAGCCACTGAAAACGTTTACCTAAGCTAATGGGAGCTCACCAACTCCAGATGAACAGTGAAGGAACCAACATAGGACCAAGCTAGACCCTCAGAATGTGGGTTACAATTGTATAACTGGGGCAGACTCTGGGACCACTATCAGTGGCACTAGGATTTTTTTCCTACTGCTCATTCTGGGTTTTTGGAACCCATTCTTTTTGAATGGATACCTTGCTCAGCCTGGATATAGTGGGGAGGACCTTGGTAATTCCTCAGAGTAATATGCCTTACCCTCTCTGGGGAGTGGATGGAGGGTCGGATGGGGGAGAAGGTAGAAGGAATGGGAGGAGGAGAGGGAGTGGAAACTGGGATAGGTATGTAAAATAAAAAAAAGGTTTTGCTTTTTTTTTTTACAAAATAAATAAATAAATATTTTCTAACAATATTCTGAGCTTCTTTCATATTTGCTATAATGTTTCTTTGCCATTTATGATTCTTTTAAATTAAGTCCTCTGTTTCTTTCTTTAGGTTACTTGAGCCAAGTGTCTGACCTTATGGTTTATCTCACCAAAGAGTCCGATATTAGGTTATCTAATTCTTCCTATTGTTTTCTTTTTTCCCATTTCATTGATATCTATTTGAATTTTATAATGTATTACCATCACCTAGGTTTATATATTCTTTTTTTTTTAGGTTATGCTTATTTATTTTTAAAGAATGACCTCACCCCCAGCCTTCATGCCTAGCAAAGGAGCAATTCACGGGTCTTTCCATTTATGACATCAGAAAAGCTGATTGAACTTGGCAATTACCTCGCTGTTTTCACAGTGTGGCCAGCGTGCTGAGAGGGGGTTATTTGCAAGGGGCTGAATAAATATATGTGATTATATAGCCTCTTATTTTAAGTGAATTTGAAGCCGGTGAAAAATACCTGCAAACATCCCCATGTGAGACCAGAGCCAAACCCCAGTCTGAGATCAGAATAGACTCACGCTAATTTCCGCATCCTCAGATGGCTGCCCATTACAGACTCCCAGAAAATGAGAGCCTTCCCGGCAGAACTGAGCCACCAACCCCACTTCTAAGCCCCTGGAGCAGTAGATTGGCAGAAATATGAGATTCGCAGATATATATTCTTCTTTCTGTTTTTCCCATTCTTTTAATATTAGAATTATTTTTATTTTTAAAATAATCTTATTTTACATACCAAACTCTGTTCCCCCTCCCTTCCCTTCTCTCACTCCCACCCCCCACAATTCTCCCACCCCACCTCCATCTACACCTCAGAGAAGGTAAGGCCTCCGATGGGGACTAATCAAAGTCTGTTGCTTCATTTGAGGCAGGAC